ATTGAAAGCAGTAGATAGGGCTGCCTCTAATTCGAAATCTAATTAAACACAAATTAGAGTGGAGTCTAATTGGATCGTACTTACAACAAAATCAATAGACATCACATCACATGAAAGCCAATTGAAACCTAATCCAAATCTTAAAGCCAGCTAGTCTAGTTGAAGTCTGCTGGAAATTGACGGAAAGCTAGTTAGAACCAAAAACAACTGAAATCCACTTGACGTCCAATTTAAATCATTTTGTAATCAATTGACATCTAATCAAAATCCATTTAAAACTTCACCAAAATCGAATTACAAAATTGCAGCCAATCAACATCACATTTAGACCTTGTATAAACAACCGTGGGCTGCGTGAGGCAACCGTAAGAAGATCAAGCGAACGCATTTTTCGCAGGCTTGCCAAAATCGAGAGCACGAATCAGCTTGGCTCCAGGCCTCAAAGCGAAGTGTGCATCCGAGGCGCTCCTTGTTCAACACACACTTACCGCTTCAGCGTCGTGATCACTAGGGTGATCCTGAATTAGGGAATCTGCTGGTCTCCCACTGCTGCTGACCAACCTGGAGGCTTCCAAAGCACCTCACACTCCAGGACGCAGCACAACACTGGACACAGCCTCACGGCCCTGCAAAAAACAGTTCAGGCAAAGATGGGCCGCCGGCGAGCAGGCCTGGAATACTGGCGAGAATTTTTGGCCTTATTTGAGGTTGCTTTGTCAATGCGTTAACAGGACCAGAAGAGCGAGCTCGCGCTGGGACATGCTGGGGCAACGGCACTTCCACCATGTCTCCCTCCAACCTCTCCAAAGCACGGTCACGGTCAGGTTACTGCAAGTTGACATGAGGTCCAAAAGGTGTGGGAGCATCACATCGCAGGTGTTACTCGAAGCTCCGGAAGAATTGTAGGTTCCTTCTACAGACTGCACTGACTGGCACCATCCAACTGTCATTGTGCTCAAAAGTCTGAGCTGCGGTCTGAAGAGTCTTGGTCCAAGATTCTTGCTCTCGCCCGAAGTGCTTCTGATGCAGCTGGAACCAAGTGGGACTCCTGGATCATCACATTGTGCCAGCCGATCCGAGCTGACGTCCCAGCCAAATCCGATCCTTGGGCATTGCCTCCACCAGTCCAAGAACATGAGCCTCGGATTCAGTCGAACTCAAGCTCGTGCCAGGCCCCATGGACAGAGACATAGCAAAGGCACCACGGCCGCCTTGTCCTCCAACCTCTGTAAACAGCAGAACCAGACGCGAGACATTCGAGACAGTCGAGGAAACTTTCGCAACCATGTTAGGGTCTCAGCTCTTTGCACCACTCTCCAAACCTGAAGCACGCAGGAGGTGCTCAGGACACCTTGAACTGAAGACACTGCTGCCTTTGCCGAGCCAGACTGGCAGCTTCACCCACCTCATTAACATGAAAGCATTGTAGACATCCGCACGCAGGAGATGCTGTAAGGTTTGGGCCGACGCCTCGCGCAAGTACTGGGCCTTTTAACGAACTGGGCGAACTCTGTGCACCCAGGACACCCAGGGCCAGAGCAGTAGTGAATGCTCAGGCTGTGTTGGCCAGGTCTACAGGAAGAAGCTCTGGCCTCGACGACTGCTGGAAAAAAACATGTCAAAGCTCGACGAACCGGGTGCCCAACAAGCGTGAGTAGCTGCAGTCCCCGACCTGTGCCAACCCTCATGGCTGCGCTTTGTAAGCTTACAGCACCTGGCAAAGAGCCGCGCGATTTGCAGCAGCTGCTCGTTCACAACCTTCACTGTTGTAAACGCCCAGATGGCCTGAGAGACCACGCAACAGCTTAACTGTGGCAGGGTATCAGTCTCTCCGAAAAGGCCGAGACGTTACATGACTCCTGGGATGTGAACCTTGATGCTTTGTCCACCTGTGCTGGCCGGACTTTCCGTTGCCGACCCAACATGCTCCCCAAGGTTGCGATCTGAGATGCGCAATTCCTGGCAATGGGGCTCCAGCTACAGCCGATGCAGCAGATAGCATTGGCGGCACATCCCGGAGTACTGACCTTTGCTTTGGTCTGTGCAATAAAAGAGAAAGGACAACCAGCGATGGCATGCACACCGCGAATCTCTCGGCACTGGACACTCCAGAGGCCCAGGAAGTGTTGGCCAGGCCCTAGAAACTGAGGCCTCGGAGGCAGAAGGGCAAGAAGGTAAAAAAGAACGCCAATAGACAACTGCTTCAAAAACCATGGCAATAGGGCAAGAGCAGGACACTTCTTTTTCGCTGAAACCAATTTCGGTCGCTCAGGTTGCTCAGTCACAACGATGCTCGGCTCCTGGATGCTCCTGGCAAGCATCTGTCGTTCTTAGTGATGCCCAAGGTTCAAGCGCTGAAGATTCATGCTGCAAGAGGCAAAGCCCTTCTTTCTCTTTCTTGGTCTCCCATGAGCAGCGTGGCTAGTTGTCTTTGGCCTAGGCAACGAGGGCTTCCCACAGGACTGTGTGATGGCTGAGCACACTGAGCAGCTACGCCTAGCTGGGCCAAGCTAAGCCAAGGAGCTGTGGAAGGCGCCAGGGCAAGTGGCGGCATCTCGCCGCTTTTCAGATCAGGGCTCTGGCTGTAGATGATGCTGGCAACCAGGAGCACTGGTACTGCAATCACCGCTGCAGCTTCAAAGCTGGATTCCGGAGATTGGAAGATACCCGAGCCCACGACGAGTTCCCCATACTTGGTCCCATAAGCAAAGGTGAGCGTCAAGAAAAGGATCTCCGCCACCAAGAGCGGACCGGGCGTGATCTGACTGGCATCTTCCGGAGACACCTTGGCAATATCAAAGCCTGCCGGCTCTTCTTCTTTGACTCCCTCCTCCTTTGTGAACAATCGACGAGGGTCCAATTCCATCAATGTCCAGCCATTTGAAACGGCTATGCGGTAGGCAGCCAGTGCTAAGGTTGCATTGCCAATGAATGTGAATAGAGCTTGCCCGGTGAGAATCCAAGGAATCTGATTGTAAAAAATGTGGAAAGTGAGCGCGCACACGCTTGAGATGCTGCTTGGGAGCATCCCCCAAGTCAGACCCTTCCACTTTGGATTTTTAACTGCATCCGCATAGCGCCAGGCCAAGGACATAGCGAAGAGAAACTCAAAAACCGTCGACCAGTGCACGATCCAATTTGGAATAGACAGTGCGTTCACTGGCTCGGCCTCGAAGTCTAAAGCTCCAAGTCCGCCGAGGAAAGCCGTGTGGGCTTGGAAGCCAAAGAGAGGAATGCCAGATGCCAGCGTCAGGATGACGGCCCCCAACCAAGCAAAGGCGATGTTTCTTGCTGTCTTGTTGTCAGCAAGATCCCCATTGCCGGTGAGGGCACCTCGGAAGCCGAGGACAATCATGATGTTTGTGCAGGTCAGCAAGGATTCCGCGCTGCCATGCACCCAATCCGAGTCTGCAAGTATCAGGCCATAGCCTGGGTTGCTGTTAAGGAACTTAAATTAAGTTACTATATTGGGGAAACCCTATTATTCACTATATATACCCATTATGGTAACTTAATTTGAGTTCTTAAATCCCTATATTCCCCCCAGTTTCCATTTCATTTTCCATTTTCTTTTCCATTTGATTCTCCATTATAGGGGGATAATCCCTTAATTTAAGTTCCCATAAACAGCAACCCAGTAGCTGCTCTTGGAGATGATCCCAGCTGGGATTGTCAGGAGGACAAAAGCCAGCAAGAAGGCGAAGCCAAAAAATGTCAAGGGCGGCGTGTTGTTCCCACGGTAGCCCAAGAAGTATAAGAAAAGCAAATACGCCGGCAAGGAGCCCTGGAAAAGAACACCATTGATGTTGCCAGCTTGGTCAGAAAACGCTGCTAGCAAAGAGGTCTCATCCAGGCCACCTGACTCGCATGGACATTGCTGATTCATTGGTTTGGCAGCAGCGTTAACAAAGTAACAACTCAGTCAACACTTCTGTTGCCCGCGGCGCCTGGAACCGCTTGAAGAGCATCAAAACCCTCAGCGCTAAAGTGTCGAGTTATCCGAAAGCCCTCGGATCTTGCCCCCGAAGTTGTGCTGTCAATCCTGGTCCTTAATTTAGCAATGGAAGTGGAAGGCCTGTCTCCGCAACCAGGGCAAACTCACGACATGACAACGAGCCGTCATCTCTGAACTTTGGTGAGGCTTCTTGGAACCAAAGCCAGCAAAGCGGGCAAAACTGGCAAAGCCGATGTCCGCATTGGACAGGAGGCTCACGAAGAGCACCACAGCACCTTTGCTTGAGCTACGAATCTCCTCTGGCTGCTCCCGGCATTCGCAAATCTTCAGCAAAGGCGCATGCCCGCAAGGCGTGGGCGGATCGGCGAGGAGCTAGGCCGCGCATTGTGGAAAAGCAGCTCTCTGCAGCAAGAAGCCACCAGCAAAGAGTTGCCAAAGTTACTTGCAAATCAGCACATTGTATCAAAAGCCTTGGAACCTCATGCAGCAGATCACGTACTTGTTGTGCCAAGGCGCAGAGCACGTCTGAAGCTCCGAAGCTACAGCTGCCAAATGACATTCCACGCGCGGCCTACGGCCCTGGCAACACATGTGGATGCCACCTTGCGCAATGTCGACTCGGCGTGGGCAAAGGCGCCTACCCTGTACAGTGCAAAACAAAAACCCATCTCCGCAAAAGCATGTATTTCAAAGCAGGTTGCAGGACTGGGGGGCACGTCTTGTATCTTGAGGTGCGAATGGGGAGTTTCAACCGTCTCTACCTGCTTCGCATTCCGGGCTTGATGGTGAAACTCGCAGCTCATGTCTTCTCACGCCGTAGTGAATCGGAGCCATGTGGTCCCACCGGCACGCTCCACGGCAGTGAAGGAACCACTCCTGCAAGCAAGCTTCGTACAATCTTGTCTTGCCCAAACGTAAGCCAACCTTGAGGAGAGCTTTGGAGGTGTATTCTTGCTCTGCCTCAAACACGAAAAAGCATCTTAAAGGCTAATGCGCTGAACCGCAGAAGGCGGTTCAGAAGGGCTTTCTCTCATGAGCCTGAGAATGTCGGCTCGCTCTGCTGAGACGAGCCCGCAGGTCTCGGCCAAGCGGAGAGTCTTACTATCCAGAGCGCCTGAAACTGGAACACGCTGGGAACGTTGCACAAGACAAGTCAGAACAATGCCATCTGCCTTCGTCGGTGAGTCTCTTGACCCCCTGCAACCACAGGTTGGCCTGTGCCTTACAAGCAAGCAGGCCTTGGAAGATGTGAAACTTATTGGCTCTGACTTCAGCTTTGCCGCCCACCTTCTCCAGCTGGTCGTTGAGACTGTGACATTCGTGGATCTCCTTCATCTTGTGCTTGATCGCGTCGGAATGGATTTGTTTACCTGCTTGCCAAGCTTTTGCGTCATGCTGCCATCCGAACCCTCCTTGGAAGCTTCCCAGCATTCTATACGTACTCTACGTGCCTTCTGGAAGGGCTTCTGGGATAGTGGAGCGCAAAGCTCTCCGCCCACCCAGCGATTTCAAACTCTCTTTCCAGCAGTGAACAAATATGCGACACCTGGGTTGTCTTCACATCTCAGCAAAGATATGTTGACATACCTATGGTTGATCAGGGAATCTGTTGCAAGCGAGCCACCTTCCGCCAACTGCCTTGCCATCCTGGCTTTCAAGCTCGAGCTCGATAGGCAAAGGCTCTGCCTGACCAAAGCCGCTCCAACTACTTAGGCTCATTGTAAATTTCCAGGTGTTGCACCCTTAACAATGTACGAGTACAACTGCAATCTGGGTTCCTTAGCTGCCTTGCTTCGACTCTTAAATGCTTAATTCATGGCAGGGCTTGTCTTGCTCCGGAAAGCGATGTTGCATACCGGGTTTTCCCGTACCTCTACTCAAGAAGATTCATTACTGGTTGGAATGTAGGCCACTACGCGGGCGGTTCGGGCAGGGAAACCTTTCATCACATGAGGGCGTACGATCCGTAGGTAAAACACAATCCTTCAGCTTCAATTGCCTGATCACATAGCTCTCATCTGCTTGCCCTTTCAGCCTGCCTCCGCCGGATTGCAGGACTTCGCGGCGCTGACAAGCTGCTCGTAGCAAAGCGCAAGCGGCAGGTCACAGGAGGCCAACACCTTGGAGAAGAACAGCCCGGGTTGAGAAGCGCTGAGCACCAGCGTCTCACCGCCTGAGCACAAGGAGCAAGGCTGCGAGGACAAGGCTTTAAGCTGGCTCAATCTGGCTCAGCTTGTCTGCGCCTTCCCAGAGCACGTCCAACTCGTAGCGTAGGTTGAAGAGGCACTGCTGGCGGCCCTCACCGCCTTCAAGCTCTTCAACAATCGGCTTGACGCAAGGCGTCAGCATCAGTCGATCTTCTGGTGACTTCTCACGGTCTTTCTGGAGAGCCAGCGCCTCATTTGAACATGCGCAGTATACTCTTTTAAGTGCTCTCAAGCCTGGAGAGGGACGGATGAAATCAACATTCAGCTGCCAGGTTGGTTCTATCTTTTCCTGCCGATGATGTGCAGAACACAATATGCCCCAGTCTGAAATCAGAATCTTACGCCTCTTGAGGAGACAAAAGCCGCCAGCTTTCCCAGAAAACTTGCGCACGTTCTGCAGTGCACAGCCAGTCCAACCTCCTTGCAACCACATGCTGTTGCTGCGTCCTCTGTGCTTGTGGTCAGCTTTTCGTACAGATTTCCTTGCACAAACGTGCTTCGCATAAACACGCCGAAGAGGGTAAGCAGGAACAGCAGCCGACGACAGTAACTTGCGGTATGTCTACAGCCCGGTTGATGTGACCTGCTGGGCTAAGCAGGCTATGAGAAAGCCGAGCAAGGTCCCACGAAATGTGCCAGCCTGTGCGGCTCCCTTTCGGTCAGGTTACGAAGCGCAAGCCTCTTGTCTTGGCCAGCTGCGGACCGTCGAATGTAACAGAGTCCACCTCCGCAGGATGCCATTCCCTTCAGTTACTCCCTCCCCTATCCGTGTACTGGACAGGCGCAGCAAGCAAAGGCCATCATGACCCCAAAGGCCGCACGCGCCGCGTCCCACCTGAATCTTGAAGACGAAGACCTGCGTCTCATCTAATCTTCGCGACTCTTCGTTGGCCTGACTTAGCGGCTGATGCTGCTACAAGGCTTATGAATGCTCATGACTATGCCCAGGATGCGGATCCTTGTGGACAATCTTCTCAACAGCAGCAGCCGCCGCTGCTCGCGCCATGGCTTATGTCAGAACATCACTTCGCGCACTTCACTAGCACACCTTCATCACAAGCAAACCTTTCAAGTTCTGCATTCTGCTTTGCGGGTTTCGGCCTGTAAGGAGCTATGCAAGAGCTATGGCTAGGTTAAGATCCGTCCCATGGCGCGGCTGGCGGACACATGCATTTTCATGCCCAGAAACTTGACCACGCTGTTCACGCAATGTGTTCAGCGCGTTGTCCATTTTACTCACGCTGCAACACACCTGAAACGATATGTCTGTGAAAACATGTTGTCATCAGATTTCCAATTCTGTATTCCAATCTTTGATTTTGTCCTTGGCTCCATGGTAGATTTGTAAACAACTGGTTGAATAGCCTGGTCTTCAGTCAAGGGTTAAGCCTCCAGCGAGAATTCCCCAATGCTCGGGTACAGAAAGGATGTTGTTGGCACATATATGGCCGCTCATAACCACAGCTGGCACACCAATGCCAGGAGCTGTGCTGTCTCCGCACATGTGGAAACCTCAAATTGATGAGGGAGGCAGGAAGCTCTCGGGTCGTACTGGGCCACCCCTGCCTTCGAGTGGAGTCTTATGCCCAGGCAGCATCTCTGGCGCTTGCACACGCAGTCCTCCCAAGATCAGATTCAGCCCCTCGGTCTGAGTGAGTGATGGTACTTTGACCCTCGGGATCCGTATGTTCCAGCTGGCTTGCGCAGGAATCGTCGATGCGTGCGGGGAGTGCCGACAAGCTCCAGCACAACACGCTCCTGCGGAGTATTTGGTATCAGATTGGTTGCGCTGTGCTCAGAAATCTAAGCTGAGGCTCTTCTAGATCCGGGATCTGTTTGGCCACAGCAGCATAGAGGAATGCTCTTGCTTCCTCCTTCTTCTTCTTGTATGCCTCACTGGACCTGACCACATCAAGAAGCCAGATCCATACCTACGTATTCATCTGCTTGACCATCACCAGCATTTGCAGGCAAAAGTCTCATCCAAGTCTGCCCAGTCCTCCCATGGCTCAGTCGCTGGAGTGTAGGCATGTATGACATGATGCCCCGGAGGCGCCAGGTCTGGATCCAGCCTGACAATTGCACAATCCATGTGGCATGCACAAACTTCGTTCTGCCTGACAACTGCTGCATGCCGAGCAACATTGATGGACAGCTGACGAGCACGGCATTGCGCGGTGCTTCCAAGTCATCCCAGCTATTGAAAACACCCCATTGCGCCGGGAACCTTTTCGGCAGAGCTTATCCCCGACACCATGCTGAACACGGTGCGCGCACTTGCACACTGAGCTAGCAACGCTTCACAGTGCTGGGGTGGGAGGCCGTCGCCACGAAAGCCAAGGTGCAAGTGAATAAAGGACTTCAAGAGCTTGTAATCCTTCCACGTGGTACTCAAATAGTCTTCGAGCTCCGGGGCAGAGTTTTGCTTGATCAAACTTTTGGTGATCTGCCAATCTGTGTTGCCTGAGGTCGGTATGGGCATTTTCAGCAAGGCCTAGCAGAATTCAGAGAAAGGGCCGGACTCACCACAGTGTGTGCTCGAATGGTGCTTCCATCTTTCAAACGAACTCCAGCAGCACGACCGCCCTCTACGAGGACTTCTTCCACGTGAGCCTTCAACAGGACTTTGCCTGCAGGGCATGCAACCTGGACCTGGCTTCCTGCACCCGCATTGCAAAAGACGGCTGGTTGCCGTCGCGCCTGCGTGCTTCTCAATGCCTCGCACCAAAGCTCCCACCAGGGCTTCATTACCTCCCTTGGGGAAATCCAAGCATGTGTTCTTTTTGTACATATCTCCCATCATGTAGGCCTCAGCGATGCTTGGCACGGCGTCTCTGCCCCCACGCCAAGGCTCAAGTTCTTGCTGCTTGCCGAGTCGCCATCATACTTGTCGGGGCTCCATAGGATGGCAAGCCCTTCAAAGAATCCGTGCTTGTCTGGGTGAAGAGGGGGGGGGAACTCTAATTCTACCTTCGCCTCAGGCAATCAGCAACAGCACAACCCTCCCTGCCTGGCGCAGGGTGGGGGGGGGTTGGGCAAAAGCTCACACTTCGAATATGTGGCACTTCGTACAATGAAGTTCTAGTAGACTGGGCGCCCATAGCTTCAAGATGAAAAGCAGGTCCCGCCGCCAGCCAAATGCTCTCGCAAAAAGGGAGACCCCAAAGCAACGAGCCAACCCCCAAAATCGCAGCTATCGCAACTTCAGTTCTGAGGGCAACTCGAAGCCTTTAGCTCACGAACACTGAGGCAAGAAGGAAAGCACCATTAGCCTGAAGCGCACAGACTACCACAGGGTCAAGGCCTGAAGGAGGAAGGCAAACATGTCCATCCAGTTCTTGATGAAAGGATCAGTGACCTCAAACAAATCGGTGATACCAAACAAATATGTGCAAACCTCTTGCACGTTCGATGCCCTCCATGTGGTCGGATGCTTGAAATGGGGCTCGTTGCACTTGAAAGAATCACTAACATGTGAGACCCTGCACCACGCCCCGCCCATCCAAAGTGTCTGCTGAGCCGCTGCATTGCCTCTCAGCTTTGGCCGAATTTAGACTATCCAGGGTAAGGCCAGCAGAAAAACAAGGAAGAAGAAGGGAAATTAGAAGGCGAAGTCGGCATATGCAAATTGAATTAGCAGGAGTTTTGGGCTGCTGGCTCCTCTCTCTTCTTCTTCAGCGCGCTATGCGTGTCCTGGCGAGCCAGGGCCACGCTGGGGCTACGCCCCAAGCGCCGGTTCTCCGGTATCTGTACAGCATGGAAAATTGAATTCCAAAAGGGCTCGGCATTCAGCGCTCCCCCCTTCTTCTTCTCCCTCCCCCCTCCCGTCTGGTCGTTCCCGCAAACTTTGGAGAATTCGCTAGGGGGAAAAATCTTTCGAAACTCGGGCCGGGGAAAGGTCGAAGAGTGATTTCGAACGTCTGTCCCTAAAAACCCAACTATCAGTATGCATCAGTCCCTTCATATCACTCTTCCCTGCATCTCACTGCCCGTGGTGCTGCTCCGTAGTCCGGCTATACATTTGTCTACATCACTGCCCCTTGCTCATCCCAAATTGACAGCTTGACTCATGAGCTGCTACATAGTGTCACGAAGTCATGAAATGAATTCGTCCACTTGAAACCACTGTTGCAGGCCATGCGACTTCTGTGGCCCAATCCAACGCGCTTTAAGACACCTGATAGCACTCTTGTGCGTCAGACGATCTGCTTGGCGAAGTTAGTTGCGACTTGCAGTAGCCCGGGAGTTTAGACATGAAACACCTTCTTGCCAGCTGTCTGCACCCTTCTACACCAAGTTGTTCCAAACATTGTTGGTCGCTTCAGGCACAAGTCATGTTAACCCTCACTCGCGCTTGAGCTTTTCCTCCTGTGCCCGAAGTCAAAGGTTGGTCTTAAGCGAGCTGAGTATACAGCCGCTCTCCGGGAGGGAGGGTGGGAGCAGTAAATCTAGCGCAGTGTCAGGTGAACATGTTTGTCATGTTAACCCTCACTCGCGCTTGAGCTTTTCCTCCTGTGCCCGAAGTCAAAGGTTGGTCTTAAGCGAGCTGAGTATACAGCCGCTCTCCCATACCACACTATTAGTGGCCGGCGCGCGTAGCAAGCGAGCTACCTTTGCATGCCCAGAACTGACCTGTAAAGAGCTCTGCAGGCTTTGACGTTCTCAATAGACTCAACGGGCAAACTGGCAAGGATGGAGTCAGCCGCGACTTCTTGCAAATAATACTGAAGTGTTTCCAAGTTTTTTAGCCTCATCAGCCAAAGGATCTCAGTCAGAGGCTTCCCTGAGCGGTAAGCCCATACCGCACCTCCTCCCCTGAGGGAACCAGGAGTGACCCGGAGCCGAGGAGAAACACCTAGTTGCGACAGAATATAGTCCCAGCGTCGACGGAAAGAACTCGGTGAACCTGGGAAGATCAAACTGTCTGGCCTGATGTTCTGCAACTCCTTGGAAACGTAGCTAATAACTGGTTCCAGGGTGAGCTTGGCGTGCTGTATCCGAGCACCTCGTTTGCGAGTCTTCGGAGTCCGAAGCTTCAGGAACAAGCAAGCACCTCCAGCATCGTCAAGCAAGTCTACTGGCGTCAGGACGTCTCCTCGAGTAGCTTTCAGCACCTCTCCTGGACGAGTTGCGCAGTAGAAGGCCAGCTGTAAGACTAACGAAAAACGAACCCAACCTAGAGCAATTGCAAGCCCAGCCATAGCTTGAAGAAGAGCTTCAGGCAAGGGAGGCCGGTGCTGAACAGGTTCGACCAATTCCCATCTCGTCACTATCTCCCAGGCCGGACTCAAACACGCCTTCAAACCAACTACGCAGCGTTGAAGATGAGCCAGCAATTGTCTGAAGTAATACAAAGATGAGCCGTCTCTATACAAACGATACCCATACGGTTGGAGGACTTCTACTAGCAGCACCGGGCACTTGAAAATGTCTTCAGCAACCTCCGCACCAACCTCAGCGCACAACCATGCTTTGAACTGGGCTGTCAGCTTGGAGCGCAGCAGATCTGTGGCAGGCTCAAAAAGAGAGACAGCTTCAAGTGGTGTCTCCCGAACCGACTTTCGTCTCCGAGGTCCGGGTTTTGTAGCTTCACCGATCTGGGCCGCCTCACTCCCGCTGCAAGCGGTTGAAGCATAGACTTTTTCGACGATGCCACTAGCTAATCGAACACAAACACCTTTTGGGTACACCTGGGCCAGCTTCGTCCAATTTGCTTTCGCAGAACTGCACCGGCCTTGAAGAATGACATGCGCATGTTCCCCTCGACAGAAATCTTTGACTCCCGCTAGGTCAGAGTTGGTCAAGACCTTTGTCCTTTTCCGCCAAGGAGCTGAAAACCGGCAAGCATCAAACCGCCAGAATCCTAGGTCACTCCGCCGCAGCAGCTTCTCAACGCAGGGCTGTCGCCAAAACCAAGAGTTATCAGGGTTTTCGAGCCAAACAACACATGATTTCTTCAAGCCAAGTTTGATGACCAGAACACAGAACCGGCAGTGTTGGTTCCCATGTCTCAGCGAAAGCTCCTGGTTCGCCGTCGCCCATGGCACACCTTCTACATAAACCCTGGACCTAATCGGAGGGGTCACAGCAGTGGAGAAAGAAGTGCACAAAGGTGCAAGTCCAATGGCGACGAAACATCCAGTACCGACAAGGGCGAGGATGGTATCCTGAACAGATGATTCCAAAAGGTTCTCGGATGGATCATGCTCCCAGTCATAACAAAGCACCCAGGGTACTCCTTGCTTGACTAGCTGTTTAGCGACTCCCCTTTTTCCCGAATACAAATCCAAAGCACCTTTGAACTGAAGCGCCTCAGCCAAATTCCCGCGAAAGGAGGACGCGAGCACAAATTGGCTGGCCGGAATTTCGCAAAGCTGAGAAGCTGATTCAGCGGGGCACATGATCTGTATGAAGGAATCGAAAGGGACTTGTGCTTTCACCTCGGAATGCCTAAGTTGATTGCGCGCTGAAGGATTGATGTGGCTGGGACGACCTAAAACTGAACCCGCACCAGGGCTAAGTTGCTCACTCTCGCAAGGGTGATCGGCGGCGGCTGGCACAGACCCAACCAGAAGCTCAGACGGATCTGGAAGTTTGGAAACATCATGAGGAGAGAAACCCCAACCCTCGAGGGCAGCATCGAGAGGACCAAAATCCTCTTGCCAAGCTGCTTGTAACCAAGAGGGTGCTTTCTCAACAGGCTGCCGGATCTCCTTACCTCGGGTTGGATCATCGGCTGGGTTATCTTCGCTGGCTAGGTACGCAAGCGAAGTTACAGGGCCCAAAGCCAGGTAGACACCTAAGGACTGCAGAAGCAACTTGCGAAGGTTTTCCGAAGAAGACCGTCCCTTAGTAATGCTCCCACAAACGACCTGACTGTCGCAAAGGCAAAGCAGCTTGTGCCAAGGTTTTGCATAGGCTCGACGAGCTTCAGCAACGATGACACTTTTCAATTCGCCTTCATTGATGTGCCTGTTTTTGGTGCGAGGACTGGCAAAGTCGAAAACAAACTGACTTGATCTCGCAAGGTGAGTGAAAAGGGGGCAAGCTCTATAAGCTTCCTGCTCACCTGGGAGTTCACTGTCAGCATCCAAAAGATGTCGCTCTCGGAGCCAGGCAGCCGACGGTGGCAAAAGCCTTGTCCAAGCTCCTTTTGCGCAACTATGACGAACCAGCTCACCAACGAAGCCGGCGTTAGCCTTCAAGTAGACACCGGCTTCACCCCAACCCGACGCGTCAGTAGCGAGAATCCGATCATCGAAAGGAAGCCGCAAGTCGGCTTGCATCAGTGGAGCTAAGATTGCGCAAACCAGAAGCTCTTCACACAGACTAGGGCTAAGCCGTATCACGTCGAGCTCGCCTCGTCCGGACTGAGCTGCGTAGATCTTATCTAGGATGCTTAAACACCTTCGGCTGAGCAGCATGACAGAGACCCATGCTCCTGCGACAGATTGCAGAAGTCCAACGGTAGCCAAGCCCAGAGTGGCAATTCGAGATGTCAACTGAGCAAGAGGCACCACTCGCCAAGGACCGCCGCGCACAATTCCAGAGAGTCCGTCAAAGCTTATTCCCCAGAAGTCAGCTCTAGGTTGGAGCTCAAACCCTTTATCAGGATGTCGTGGCAGGTTTGCTTTGACATAACCTTCCCGAACTTTTTGCATGATGGCTTGAGAGCTGCACGACTCGAGGTCTCCGGCAAGAAACTTGCTCCTCACAACACGTTCCAAAACTATAAGGTCATCTAGGATAAGCCCGAAAATGCACTTATCGCGAGGCACTGGTGCGCTCTGCAAGAGAATTTGGGACAGAGTCAAAGCTCCACTCTGCAGCACAACACCCAGATGGGATGTTTGTCCTACGGAGACTGCTTGACTGTCCCCCATTGCCATCGTCGACAGACACGGCACTAGCAACCTCTCTTTCGAAAGTGCATCGCTGAAGCAAACGAGATGACAAACCTGCTCTGGAAGAACTGTCATGTTTAGAGCGTTTCTAACAACTCTCTCAGCCCCGATTTTAAAGGAATAAAAGAAATCCTTTATATCTTCCCCGGAAGCCAACAGAACTTCATCATCTTTCAGGGAGATGTTGGCGACTGCTGCTGCAGAACACAACGTTCCAAGCCACCTCGCACACGGAGTCTCTAAACAGTTGAATGGACGCGAGTCCATAATGAAACGGTCTACTTCGAGAGACTTCGGCACAGCAAACGCCCCTGCCCCGAGACCTGGCAGGGCTTTCCAAGCTGGTATCAAAGCCAACCGGCCGACAGAGTCAAGCTTTTCTAGAAGTTTGAGTTCCAGGAAGTGCTTATCGACCTTA